CCAGGCCTGGCCCCCAAAATGCCCCCCCCCCCGGCACTCACAGACACCCCCCAGGAACACTCACGGGGTGACACAGATGAACTTGGTCTTCAGATACGGAGCAGCACCTGCAGAGGAGCGAGCAGCCTTGTCACCAGCCACCGGAGGAGGAACCCTGCTCTCCCCCAGCTCCGGAGCGCAGACCTGCAGGCAGCACCCGCCCTCCCAGCCCCTGCGCAGCCCTCGCTGCCCACACCCCACGGGGACCCCGCCGTTAGTCCCACGCTCTGGCTATGCCCTCCGGGGACGGGCCCAGGATCCTGGCTGGCGACAGCTCTTCCACCAGTGCTGTCCCTGGAGCCTCCCCGTGACACAGGAGCCATGCTGGAGCGCAGAAAGTCAACGACTACCTGAGTCAGTAGCTTCAGAGTGCTCCTGGCTCTCGGAGCGGCAGTACTTCCCAAACGCCTCCTCCTTGGGGATGTCCGGGTACAGGTACACCAGGGGGGACACCAGGATGTTGGTGGCATCCATGATTTTGTAGCCCATGATGATCTCCGCAAATGACATGTTGTTCAGTTGCTGCTTGGTGTAAGGCTCCACAGACTGGATCTGGGTCTTCCCTGTACAAGGAGACTTTTGACACGGGGCAAGACACCTGCATTCCTCCAGCAAAGGCAGGGCCTTCCTCAGACTCCGCAGGAGCAGCAGGGACAAGGTCGGCCTGGGGCTGTGCCCAGCCTCACAAGGCACCCAGCAAACCACGGGGCAGGACGGGAACCCGCCAGGTGGTTTCAGTGCCGCAGAAAACTGCGTGCACACAGGCGGCACATGGGCAGGGACACCCAGGAGGCAGAGACCAAAGGGCACCCGGGCTCAAAGAGTTAACCTAGGCAGAGGGCTTGTCAGGACAAGGACAAAGAACAAGTGCCTTATCACGGGGTTCCAAGCCCCCTTGGGAGCCAGGAACAATAGCCAAGCAAGGCACCGCACCCAGGGCAGCGAGGGGGAAGAGCAACGTACCGCTGATGTCCTTCTCCACCCACGTGAAGGTGATGCCGCCTTCCTTGCTGCTCTCACTGAACCGCAGCAGGAAGGTTCCCGGAGGCTTGGTGCTCAGGATGGCTCGCTCCCGCTCCTTGCTGATGAACCCCATGATGTACCTGGGCAGCAGGAAGCGAGGAGAGCAAGGGTGGGTCAGGATACCGGGGCAGCTATTCCAGGATGTGAACCCTGCCAGCTCTCTGCACAGCGTCAGGCAGCAGCAGGGCCTGGCCCAGCCACCACACAGCCACCGACATTTTAGGCATTCCCGAGTGCCAGGGGTTTTCATTCTGAACCAGCCAACAGGGCCCGGACAGAAAAAGCATCCCGGGAGAGCCCACCTGCACCTGGACAAGGCATCCCTCTCCATCAGGACAGGACTCATGGGACCCCTCCCAAGGCCCAGCTCAGCCAAGGGTCTCTGGACCGATGCTGGCCAAGGCTCACCCTTCGTTCCACAGCGCCAGGATGTACTTTTTCACCAAGTCAATGATGTTGTCCAGCCAGACCCAGAAAGAGAAGCCTTTGCCAGCCATGTTCTCCTGAGGAAGAGGGCAGAGAGGCTATGAATACGGCTTGGAGGAAGGGAACAGCCAAGGGAAGGTGCTCAGGGGAGGAGAGGGAGTTATACCTTGCAGAACTTGGCCCAGGTGATCTGACAGCCAGAGTAATTCACACCTGGCCCTGGCAGAGAAGAACAGGAGCATCAACATTTAGATTGAGCTGTTCTTCTAAAGACACCATTTCCAGGGAGCAACCTGAGGGACAGCAGGGACGGGCAGGACACCCACACCAGGTTACCTAGGAGTTTTTCTGCCAGCGTTGTCAGCTGCTCAATGCTGAGGCCGCGCTTCGTGGTGGAAGAGAATTGCCAGCTCAGCACCTCTGCCACCTGGTCCCAGGTCCCAATGGGGGGCTTGGTGAAGAAGTTCACATTCTGCACAAGGGAAAACACAGCCCTGAGCAAGACATGGGACAGAAGCAGGGCCAGGTCTTGCCCCCAGCCCTGCTGCCAGGCCACAGCTTCCCTCTCCCTGCCTGCAGTGACACTCTGGTCCCAAAGCCTGCACTGCTGCTCTGCTAGCCATCCCCTCAGCGCCAGGCCCTACCTTGGGGTTGTTGGTCAGCATGTTGTACCACAGGATGGATGCCCAGGCATTGGGCATCTGGCAGATGTTGGAGATGACCACCACAGGCAGTGAGTGGGTCTGCAAAGACAGGACATGACCACAGGCTGGGACATCTCCCAGGGCTCCTCTGCATCCAGGCCCATCTGGACCCACAGCTCACCTCCAGGTCAATCTTCAGCCCCTGGTGATACACCTCTGTCTCAAAGGTGATGAGATGCAGCTCCTCAGTGACTATCAACGAGGCCTAGGGTGGAAGAGGACATGATGAGCACCCAGGAGACACCGACCCTCGGCCTGACACACGGCCATCAGGCCCAACGCTGCTGCTCAGGTCTGGGTGGAGATGGCTGCTCTGGCAGCTGCCAACACACCAGAGGGTGCCTGCGGACACCCGCTCTCGAGGCAGGGCTCCCGTTCCCCCTCACAGCTCAGCTGCAAGACAGAGCGCGAGACAGGGAGCAGAGCCCGCAAAGGGCTCTCCTACCCAGGGCCCCCCCAGCACTTACATCACAGTTGGCTCTGCCTCCGTTACCGCACCGCTGCTCCCGCAGGGTCTGCGGAGAGAAGGAACAGGCTGAAGCAACACCGCGACAGCACACAGCCTTAACAGGAGCAGCTCAAGAGCTCATGGTACCTACCAGGTGCTTGAACTCTGCTGAGAGGCTGCCGTTGTTCGACTCCTCCATGTTCATGACCTTGGTGTTTGTCCCCAGGATGTTAAACTTCCGGGACCTCAAAAGAGGAAAGACAGAGCATGGCTGACAGGGCCCTCAGAGCGAACATGTGATAGGATGTTTGCCAGGATTAAGAGCAGAAGCAAGCAAGAAAAAAAAATATCCAAAACATCACACTTACCCCCGAAGCGCTGCAACATCCCCAGAGTCCCTAGGAAAGGGGAGAGAGACACCCAGTCACGGCTGTGGCTCCCTTCCCACCCTGATGCAGACAGACAAGCTGGTGTGTGGGGCCAGCTGCATCACAACATCGAGTCCCACAAGCCCCCCAAGCTGTCCCGCCACATGGGAATGAACCCTTGGGACCCAGTGCCACCCCGCACCTTCCCCTTCTACCAGGGGCCACACTGGCCCTCTGCGCAGGGATGGGGCCTGACCCAAAGGCAGCAGGAACAAGTCCTACTCCAGTAACCCGACCCAATGCTGCCAGGATCAGAGCACAGAACTCACTTGTCAATGCAGACTTTAATTTTCAGCTGATAGTTCAGCTCTGGAAACTTGACTAACAACCTGCAAAGAGTCAGCAGAAGCAGAATGTGACCGTGAACATCCTGCACATGCAAACAACTCCAGTTCAACACAGCATCTGGCACAGACAGCAGCTGGATGGACAGCAGAGCTGTGTGCATCCCCCAGCAGCACCACAGTTCACACCACAAAGCCCACAGGGACGCAGCATTACCCAGCTCCTCCAGCACCCCTGAGCCCGTCTGCACACAGGCCTGTGACATGTCAGCCCCACCACTGATGCTCCCCTGAGCCCCTGCAAGGAGGGCTCGTTTTGGCTGCTGACTGCCCACACCAGGCAGGCATCCACTCTGAACAAACACCCTCGGCGCTGCTCTGCGGCCAGATGCTGCCACACACCAAGGGGGCAATGGGAGCACAGCTGGGAGACAGTGAACAAGCTCCAGGCAGAGCCTGGTGTCAGAGCAGCCTCTCTCTGTGGATTACTGTGGGTTACTGCCTGTTGCTGCCACGGGCCTGGGTGCAGAGGAGCCCTGGCAGATGTCCCAGCCTGTGAGAGGCAGCTGGCCAGGGACACGCTGACTATTCCTGCCACCCGCCCCCGCAGCGGGATTTACCAGAATCCCGGCTGCCTCCAGGAACACGGCAGAGCCCCAGCCAGTAGCCGCCGTCCCTGCACTGAGTCACACAGGCGGTACTCCAGCAGGACCAGCCCACTGGGATTCATTCCCTCCCAGCACCAGGACTCCCCAGGCAAGCTGGAGGCAGGATCCACACCAGCATCTCCTTCAGAGGGAGATCCTGCCTTGCTTTCCCCCCGCACGGCTCCTTTCCCATGCCCGTAGTGCAGCGGGATCGCAGGGGCCAGTGACCCACCTGACTTTGGTGGTGAACTGCACGCCGGTTTTGATGACCAGGGGCCGGTCGGGGTGCATGGGCATGCAGGGCTGCCTCTCCACAACGAAAGCGCTGCAGGGGAAAGGCACGAGAACCACAGTCAAACTTCAGGCCTGGCCCAGCACGCTCACTGCCCACCCTTCCACCGACTGCCCGTGACCAGGGGACTGCCCACAGCTCCCTCCCAGCCCTCAGCACCTTTTCATCAAGTTCCTGAACAGCTCCACAATCCGCTCCTCCAACATGGGCCGGTGTTGGACGATCGGGTCACCCTTGTAGGACACTTTCTGCTGCAGTTCTTCCAACTTCTTGATCTGCTGCCGGGTCTGTAGCTGTGATTCGGCAAGAGAGGTTATCCTAGGGGAGCAGGAAGAACCGGTGTTAACTCTGGCTCCCGAGCCCTGCACGGTCCCAGCCCGCAGAGCCCTCCTCTTCCCTCGCTTGTGCGAGACAGGATGCTCTCCGTACCAAACCGGCAGAGAACAGAACACGTCTATGTCTTCCAGCTCAGTGCATTTTTCTGGGCCATGTGTTACAAAATAAACCTGCACGTGCCCAAGTTCTGCACGCCAGGAACAGGAACTTCTCACAGCAGCCTTAAAATCCCACGGGCCTGGGGCTAACCATTTCAGCACTAGTGCCCGCTGTCAAGGATCAGTCCAACTACTGGATTACAATTATGCTTGCAGGCATCAGAAGCCATTTTGCAAGGATGTTTCCAGAGGCAAAGAGCTCATTTCCACTGCAGGTGTTTGAATGCCACCTCTCTAGGGACTGGTGCAACCCCCAGCCAGCTCCTACCAGTTCTCAAGCCGGTCTAAGCAGATATTTGGTGGGCCACCAATGCAGGCGATCTGCTGCCGTCTCTTCCAGTCTGCCAGTTCCTCATCTGCCAGCATCTTCTGCACATACTCCATGGCTGACAGCAGTCCAGCCAGCTCACTCACAATACCCTGTCAAAGAAGAAAGCAGAACTTTCAACACCCTCTGAGATCTGCAAGTTTCACATTCACAGACAAGAAAGAAGTCGCCCAGGGCTGTGTTTCCAGCACTGCTCTCAGTTCTGGCCATGCAGGAACACCAAACTCATACCCCAGAAAAAGGGCACCACTGCACCCCAGGGAGATCTGGAGGGCCAGCTGCACAACATACCCTTCGCATTTGGTCCAGCGCCGTGAGCATTTGTTCCAGCTGCTGCATTTTCTGCCGGGTCACCGACTGATTGTTTCCGTTCAGATCCTGCATGTCTGTGCAGAGGTGAGAAACGTTCAGCCATGCACATGGACTCCTCCTACCCTCCCAAGCAGCACACAAACAAGAGGCTTCCAGTGCAAAGGAACAGGCACCCTAGAAAGCAGCAATCTCACAGAGCCTCTTGCTGGCTTTCCTGCGTTACAGCAGTGCTATCACCTCTATGTGCCATTTCTCCGCTCACAGGCAGAGCTCTGGTTCAGCTCCCCTGGAGGCAGTGTCAGCGGCAGAAACAAGAGACAAGGTTTCTCCAATTGCCATGCAAATGCCCTGAGCCAAAGCCACCCTTCTGGCTTGGAGAGGAGGCACCAGGAGGGCTGGAACGTGCCCTCCAGCAAGATTCTTTGCAGGAACACACTTTGGTTTGCCAGATGCTAATGAGCTTCCATTACCTCCTTGGCTTTTCAAAGTCTTGTAGTTAAAATCAAAGTCATCCTGGAGATTCTCCACCACTTTCATCTTCTGCTCCAGATCCTGCAAGGCAAGAGATGTGGATTTATTCAAAGCACTAAATCACTGCGGTAGGGAGGCAGCACACATACCTGCACCCTCTTCCTCACATCCTGCAGATGCTGCTCCAGCATCTGCTGCTTTTCCGTCACTACAGCTGCTGTTGGATGCGTTGCCTGTCCCCCTTGCTGCAGAGGGGACAAGGAGGGCATTAGAACAGGGCCACGACCCAGGGATGCTCCCCTCCCAGCCCAAGGAGGTTTTGCAGGATGGGTCTTGACCCCCTCACTAACAAAAGCCAGTGCGGCTGGCTGCTCGCTTGCAGCATTAGCTCCAGGGCTGCACAGCAAGGCTGACGGTGCAGGGCACACCCCACGCAAGGGGCGAGAGGAGAGACAGATGCACAAAGCCACCCCAGGCAGAGAGCACCCAGGCTGCATCCTGGCGGGAAGCAGCTGCTGCCTGGAGAGCAGAAGTTATCAGCCCCTGCAGCTGGGCCATCCCTCAGCACAAAGCAGCTACTGCTACTGAAGGAAGCAAGTGGGGAGCTTCGGACTGGAGCTTCCCCACAGCACCGAGTACGGGCACAGCGCTGCAGGGCAGGCAGCAGGATGGCAGCCCCAGGACACCTGAGCCACTTACCTGGGCTGCGGTGGCAGCCGTCTGGAGGAGCCGCGACTCTTCCCACAGGCAACGAGCCACGATGCGGGCTATTTCCATCGGCTTCTCCAAGTATCTGCTCTGTAAAAGGTCCAAACCCCTAAGGTGAGCAGGCATAACGTAACTCCCAGGATCTCCACATCCTTTAGGGCTGCAGGTCATGACCTGTGCTAAGGAAGCCATTGGATTCCACAGGCTCCTCCCGCAGCCCCCCCTACCCAACCAGCGCTTCCCGCCTCACCTGCAGGAACTGCTTGATGCGCCGCAGGTTGTGCTGGTACAAGACGTTGGACTCCTGCAGGAAGCGGCTGTACTGCTGGTCGATCTCTCCTAGCAGGTTGTGGAACACCAGTGTGGCGTGTGACTCCTTGCTGGCAGCGTACGCCCTGCGCGAGGGAGGGCAGAGTCCTGGGTGCCCAGCACAGGGGAAGGGGCAAGACAGTGCTGCAGGCAGCTCTGCCCACGCTTGCCATCCCCCATGCATTTTAACACCCCAGCCGTCTTCCTAACCTGCACCAGAGCAAGGGCCAGAGCAGGCCTGACTTGCTTCACGCCAAAAAACTGAGCCCTTGGCCTGTGCCTGCAAGGACAGGGCGACAGAGAGGTTTTGGACTCAGGCTTAAAGTCTGGCCTTAAGCCAGGCAGACAGCGCACACGAGCACCTCACCAGTCCCACGTGCTCTCTGGATGGGATCCAGGAATCGGTGCTCTGTGTCAACATTGTTTACTACAGAGGCCAATGTAAGTCAGCCTTGGATGGGGACACCTCTGCCTTGGAGCTCCCCCTTCTCCTGCTCCGGGGTCTGACACCGTGCACACAGAGTCCCGTTCCCCTTCGCGCCGCACAAGCCTCAGGGAGGAGGAAAGAGCCTAGGGAAAGCGGCAGAGCTCCTCCAGACCTCCTCAGCACCCGCTGCCACCCCAGGGTGGGTGTCCCGAGCAAAGTCCCCACACCAGCGTTTCGCAAGGCCTTACCAGTCCTGGCTCTCAATCCATGGGGCCAGGAACTGCCGGAGCTCCATGGGAAAGCTGTCGCTGTAGAGCTGGTGGAGCTACTCCAGGTACCGCGTGTCGAGCTGCTGCAGCTGGTTCCACTGCGCCATCCTGGCCAGCTCCGGAGACCTGGCGGGACAGGCACATGTGCTGCTCAGAGCTGGCACCCGGGAGGCTCCAGGCTCCCTCCTGCCCGCAGTTCGGCAGGGCCCCGCCCTGACCACCTA